AAACTAAAAGTAAAATTTTAGCAACTTGGATTAAATGGAGGAGCTGTAATAAAGAAGCAAAGTTAAAATTAGTTGTCACTAAAGGTGCCCATACACTGCTCAATTCTCGTACGAGAATCGCGGGAAATCCCGCGATCGTACGAGAATCGAGCAGAGTGAACGGAGACGTGCGACCGTTTCTACTGTACGGTCGCACGTCTTCCGTCGAACCAGCATGTTCGAAAACCAGCCGGGAATCGTACGATTCTCGGCTGGTTAGAACGGTGCTCGGAAGACAAATGCCGAACGGGCCGGTGTGCGCACGCGCACACTGCCCGTTCAGCATTGCGGTCATCGGAAGCCCGCCCCTCAGGGGGGCGGGCTTGCGATGATCGAGAGTGCGATCTGCCTGTCCAAGATAGGCAGATCGTACGTTTTTTTAATCCCTGTACAACCATCGCAAGACTAAGGTCTTGCGATGGTTGTAGAGTGTATGGCCACCTTAAGGAGTGGTCCCTATTGGGAGATTTTCTTCACTTCCTGTTCAGGTGAAAATTGTGATTCATGGGAGTTACACTTATTTTTCGCAACTGACAACTAATGGGGGGAATATAATAAGTATCATTAATTTCCACCAAGTGAGACCCAGATAGCAATAAAAGCTGATGGGTTTCTAAACCCTCCTTACATTATCTAAAGGCTTAATGGGAGATATTAAAAAAACACCAAGGAATGCAATCGTGCCCTCTAACACACCCATGCAGATGCAGTTACAGGATAAAATTGGGAAATAGCAGTGCAGGGACACCTGGTACAAAAACAAACCACACAGGACGGTACACGCAGGAGACGTGTAAACATGGAGGCAAGGAATTCAGTAGCAGAAACACATAGGGAGCGTTTGTAGCAAGATACACAGGAAGATGCACACAGGAAATGTGCATACACAGCAGTTCAAGATTCAATGGCAGGCACACACAGGGAGTGTGTGTAGCAGAAGGTGTAGGATGCAGAGAATGCAAGATCATAAGGGAACACAAACAGCACTGCTGAGCAGAAAACACACATCAGGCTGATGCACAAAAGAAGTAGGTAGATAGGGAAGAGTAGACACTCAGGAGCTAGAGAGAGGAAACACCAAAGCAGTGCAGCAGAGCAGACAGAACAAGCAAGCTCACAGCACACAGGTGAATGCTGGCAATATACTCAAGAACACAGAGGGAACAAACCATAGGAAACAACAGAGTGGGAATCCCAGCCACTCGGGGAATCCCCAGGGCTACATCAAAGGCACAGGACTCCTGGGGAGCATGGAAAACACGGGATCCTTGGAAGCACAGGAAAACTCCTATATAAAAAGGGAGGTCTCAGGAACCAAGAAGGATGGTAACTAGGAACATAGGGGGTCTGGCAGCTAGTATACTGACTTGTTGATTGAACCCCAAGCAACAGGTGAACTGCTGCTAAAAGGGAGAGGCCAAGAGTAGATTATCTGCAGGCCTCCGACCTGCAATAGCCTGGAAGCCAAGCAGCTTGGACATGGGGAAAAACCTGGCATGGAAACAGGACAGAGGGTAAAACCTGGCACGTGGACAAGGTAAGTGTGACAAAACAGGATGTGAAGCAAATCCCTGGTGGCCAGCAGGTCCACCAGAACTAGTGTCTCCACTGGAAGATTGCAGTTCTTATGACAGCCCCAAAATTAGTGATTTTCTTTTAATTTTGACTTTTAGTGATGATGCTCACTGGGACAAATAGAGAGGGTGAATCTCCCTAATGGGGATACAGACAACAATAAATACCTGACAAGTGTTCAAATCCATCTGCACTCTATCCAGGACTAAAACAAAAAAAAAAAGTTTTGGCTTCAGCTTAACTTTAATTTGTGGTTACAGTTCAAAAGCTTTTGGGGTGGAAAAAAAAAAACCAAAAAACATTTCTTCCTGGTTTTGTGCATATTCTGGAATCAACACTTTTTGAAAGAAATGTAAAAGCGTAAAGAAATGCAGGAGGTTAAAACTGCTGTTATCAGTTTACCATCCACACATCTTAGATCCAATTCACTGACCTCTCTGCAATGAAGCCTGACCTTAGCAAGCTGCTATTCTGGCTTGGGAGTCCCTGCAGCGTGCTACAAAGCATTATCTCTGAATACTTTGGGTGCTGTAAAACCACCAACACTCACCAGTCGTGGAAACTTTCAAAGGGATGGAAACCAAAACCACAGATTATTATTATTAGCAGATGTAAAACCACAGACTGGAAAACGGCTCTTCCATTCATAAAAAGGCCATATACTATAACTCCAATACAATGTCAGAAAACATACAACTCATTCTGTCAAAAATCACTGTTTATGGCATCCCAAGCCTCTAACGGGGGGGGTACATTTTAGCTTACAGAAGCCAAAAAAAAGCTTACATTTTATTTGGGTTCTTTACACCAAATTGGTTAACAAAATGTTTAGAGTCCATGAAGCAATACCAGCTAGCAGAAAAATCTCCTTCACTTCAGTGAGGCACTCCTCTGGATATTTTAAGTGGGATCGGCCACATTAGTTCAGGTGCAATGCTGAATGGCGAACGACCAACCAGTAAAATTAACAAGCACGTCCCAAGCACACGCAAATGCTCCTTCAGAGCAACTTTATTGATCACATTTAAAAAAAACAAACAATGTTTCAGCCACACCCAAATGGTCCCCCAAATCAAAATGTATTGATCACATGTACAAAGTGACATTTCGGAAGCACTAAAGAGCTCCTCCATTAAGGGATAGTGAACAAGTCATCTCTGCTGCCTGATGGAGCCCCTTCAGTGGCTCCAAAATGTCACTCTGTACATGTGATCTGTACATTTTCCCTGGAGGGGCATTGGGGTGTGCTGGTGGTGCGCTTTTTAATTTGACTAATAATAAAACTATTAGAACTGATGATTTTTTTCACCACTCAAATATTTGAAATGCTGAAATAAAATATAACAAAATAGGACCAATATGTAGGACAGTATATGCTTACAGTTTTATGTTCAACTCTTCTCCAAAATTAATTACAGCCAATTAAAGAAAAATAAATAAAAATGCGCACACATTAATAAAATAACAAATTACGTATATATTATTCTTTTGCATTTGAGCCTGCAAAGCACTGCAACTGTGATCAGTCGATAGCGGGTAGGGCTGCAACAACTAATCGACATAATCGATTATGGAAAAAGTTTTCAACTTTTTCCATAATCGATGAATTGGCTTCCGATCAGTTGGCCCTGTTCACAGCTTCAAACACGCAGCGCGCCGCACCTCCTTCCCACCTCACGCTCGACGCTGCCAGACCCGCCCGCATCCACGCTCTTCACGCCGCACCTCCTCCCCACATCCACGATCGGCACAGGGACGCGGGGAGAGGTAGTGAGGAGCAGGTGTGGGCGGATGACAGCCGCTGATAGACAGGTCCGATCTCAGAAGCAAGTTGCTGGAAGACTGCTCAGGTAAGCCTGCACTTTCCCACACATGGTGCTCTATAATGTATTGCTGGGATTTGTAGTCCTCTATAGCTGATGGTACATTGTGCTGTATATTATACAGAGCAATGTACCATCAGCTATAGAGGAATACAAATCCCAGCAATACATTATACATTGTATGTATAATGTATTGCTGGGATTTGTTGTATTTCTATATAGCTGGTAATATTCTGCACTGCGCTGTATAGAGGACTACAAATCCCAGCAATAATACATTATACAGCGCAATGCGAAATACCACCTGCTATAGAGGAATACAACAAATCCCAGCAATACATTATACAGTGGTGCAATGCCGAATACCACCAGCTATAGAGGACTACAAAACCCAGCAACAGTACATTATACAGCGCAATGAAGCATACCACCAGCTATAATGTACTATTGCTGGGATTTGTTGTATTCCTCTATAGCTGGTGGTATTCTGCATTGCGCTGTATAATGTACTATTGCTGGGATTTGTAGTCCTCTATAGCCGATGCCATTCTGCATTCATTGCTGTATAATTTTACACTTTCCTTTTCACTATATTGCACACCACAGTATTTTTTTTTCTTTTTTTTACTTCCATCGCTCCAAGCTTGCTCCTGTGATGGACTGCAATCTCAATACAAACTAGTAGTCCATCAACAGACAATGTCTCCGCGTTCCTGAGTTACCTGTACTTCTGTATTGTTTACTGTGTTATGTACCCTATCTAATGTCAAAACTCAATAAAAACTTTGAAACTAAACTAGTAGTCCATCACTGGAGCCATTTTTTAAATGTATTTTATTGTTTATCTGATTAATCGAACTTAATAATCGGCTAACTAATCGATTTTGAAAATAATCGTTAGCTGCAGCTCTAATAGCAGGTACAATGCTCTGGCTCCTGCAGACGTCTTCTGGCAGCCCCTGTCCGAACCATGATATGGACTTTTAGTTAATAGACAGGAGAAAGTATGAATGAACTAGAAGTGCGGTGATGGTCAGGATGTAACCATAACTTTAATATGGTCACATCAACTTGTGCCCCTGCTGGGAATAAAACCACTTCCATAAAACCATAGTAAAGATGTTTAAATCCCTCCTGTCAGCTTAAAACTGGTCAAGCTTTATAAAAAATAAAAATGGCCTCACCTACACCTGTGCATCTGAATCATGCACATAAATTAAAAGACACGTATCCTTAGCATTCACATTCTTATGAGGGTGCATGTGTATGATGTCAAGCTCCGCCAAACACATCTTGCCACCACTTACCTTCTGAAGGGAACAAACTTGGAGATTGTTGATGTAGGCGGCCAGAAACTACCTCCTACCCATTGGATACCATATGAACTGTGGGCAGTACCCCATCGTCCCAATGACAGCCAAGGTATGTCCCTGGTGCCATCAAGTATGGAAGTTATCCTTTTGCAGATCTGCCCTGCTAGCTGCTCCCATAGGGAGTAAGAGGAAGGGTTAAAGAGAAAACCAAAAAGTTCAGAAGTAAAAATAAGAAATTATGACTACTTACAACTGTAGGGTTACCACTGTTGATTAACTGATTGACTTCGTGGAAAATGCTCTTGCAGTCAATTGATTTGTCTAATGATCCTCTCTTCACTATGACTGCTACCGCCAAGAGGATCTGTTCTCGTACATATTTCTGGAGGCTGCAAACACAAAACAAGGTAAAGAAGTAAAATGTGTTTTTATGTACATGCAACTTTGCAGATCAATGCTATAATTACTGACAAATGAGCTGGCAAAGGTTTGGTAAAACTTGGACATTTGTGAATCCAGCCAAAAGTTTGGGTTGGGTGAACGTCCAAGCGGACCAAATCCAGATGGCCCTGGGTTTGGTTGGCATGGACGTTCATGGCATGGACGTTCATTGAACTCATATCCCTGTGTCCAGTGTCCCGCTATGTGGCTCAGCCACCAAGTGCAACAAGTGAAACAAATGGCAAACACACCCATCATTCATAACACGTTTGAAAGCAAGGTCTACATGGAAGTGCTTTACAGGCCAAAAGCAACAATTTCCCTGCTCAGCCACCAGCCAACCAATGCCACTGTGTGGGATGCACAGCATCATAGATTAGTAGGGCACAGAAAGAAGTTTGGCGGACCAACAAACTAGCTAAATGGTCCACCTGACCAGCAACTTGAAACAGCTAGGGTGGAACTTCTGGTAAGCCCACACCCGAAACTCATCCCTACTAACAATACACTGCACAAGGCAGTCTCTTAATTGTATGTTTTTAAAAAAATGGTTTATTCCACTCTTGTCTGTAGCTCAGCACACCCCTATGAACAAAGCAAGCAAGGCATAGGTGGAGGAAGAGAGTAGTCACTCTTCTAATGGAGTTGTCTGTGACTTTGGGCTTGATTTATATTAAGCTTTGTAAACCAAGGAAAGTTAAACAAGGAAAGTTAAACATTTAAAAAGGAAACTGAAATTCCACCTGCTGACTGAAAAGAGAAACATAAAAAATATTCAAATGCAATATGTCATACTTGCTTGACTGAAAAAAGGTAAAAAGTTACGTTTGGGCCTTTACATAATATAAAGGAAAATAATAGCACTGTGTATAGGAGGGACACTGCTGGATCCACAGTGGGAATAGACCACTTCTGCACAAAAATCCTTGTGGTGATAAAGCAACAGATAGGCTCAAGGTAAGAGGCAAGGCCTCAGGTGATGATCGGACAGCTGGAGGTGACTGAAGTCAATGCTGCTGGTTGCCAGCAGGAACGAATTGAGGTTCCACATGGCTTTTTGCAAGCAGGGGCAGCAACAGGGACATGCTTCCTCGACAAGCATGACACACTACACTAAGCGGGTCTTCAGACACAAGTCACAAGCTGAGGCAATGCCAGCAGCTCTGGACCTGGAAATAGCACCGCAGCTAACTTTTACCAGAACGGAGATCTGAAAGCACTCCACAGGGAACCCAGTACCCAAAAGGTCACTTAAGGCTATCCCTGCAATGTCCAGTCCAGAGGGGTTTGGCCAAAGTACTTCAAAAGTCAGGCTGAGGATGACTGTGCCAGAGTTGCAATTGAAGAGACAAACCTGGGGCAGCAATGTAGGAGAAAAAAAAAATTGTAAAAAGGTGCTAGCAAAAAATGTTTTTAACACATGAGAGCTGAAGAAGAGACATCCATCACCATAGGACACTAGCAAAAAGCTGAGGCATGCTATATGAGGGACGGGTTATCCTCGGTTAACCTAAAGTTTTCTTCTACAGGTGAAACTCGAATAATTAGAATATCGTGCAAAAGTAATTGCAGTAAGTGCTGCAAAAGGGGCCCAAACCAAGTACTGAGTACATATGCATGCTTGTACTTTTCAGAGGTCCGATATTGTTCTATGTACAATCCTTGTTTTATTGATTGCATGTACTAATATACTTTTTTGAGGTTGTGGATTTGGGGTTCTTGGGGTTTTCATGAGCTGTAAGCCATAATTATCACAATTATGGCAAATCACGGCTTGAATTATCTTGCTTTGCATGTAATGAGTCTATCTCATATATTAGTTTCACCTTTTAAGTTGCATTAGTCAAATAAATGAACTTTGCACAATATTCTAATTATTCGAGTTTCACCTGTATTTGCCAGTTTGTCAAATCTCTTAAAATAGAAGTTAATTACCTTGTAAAGTTTCAAAACCATTAGAGTTTTACTTGTTTAACTCAAGGTCCATATAGTTGAAAGCATGAGCCAACAGGCCAGGAGTGTGGAAATTTAACAACAACAAAATAATAATAATTCTTGTCCAAGGACTACAGCGGGGACCCAATCTACTTGTCAGGATACAAAAAAATTGTTTTAACCAAAACCGTATTTAGTATTTAACCATGCTAAGTGCATCCCATTGGTTAGTGCGGTCACCTGACTGCCATGACCAACAAGTGCTTGCAATTTGCAAGCGAAGTTCAAAATCCATAGCACAAGGCTGCGCTGGATGGTAGTACACCTGTACCTGCGGAGGGGAAGGAGTGAAGGCAAGCCACAATATGGAACACAGTGCAATGGGGGCAGCACTCAGCTCAGTTTATTCGCATGCAGATGGCAGGGGCTGGTTTTAATTTTTATTTTTTACTTATTTTTTTCACTTAACCTTATTGCTATCACACAGGGGGTAATAAGCCCCTATGCGATAGTGTTTGGAGGTGACAGGCTCGCTTTATGGAGCCTGCCCTCCAATACAGAAGTTTGAGCCACCCTAAAGAATTGATTCAATACAGATCAATCAAATAGGTACTGATAAGAAGCTGCAAGTAGATCTGAAAAGAGTTTGTAAAATCACTAAACCTGTGCAAACAACTTAATCAATACTACAGTATCTTGCAGAGAAATCTCTAAAGGCATTAGGGCAGGTAATCCCAGGACGTGTAAAAGTATGTGGGTGATCTGTTCCTTGAGGTTGACCTCAAACCTGAATTCTACATTAGGCATTAAATAGCACCCGGACACTAAATGATACAGCGAGAATGAGTGGAGCAATAGGAAAAGTCCATACAGGGTTATTTTAATTGTAAAACAATACAAACATTTTTTTTCTCATGTGGTGGCAAGATAAAACGTTTCCACCTATTCTCATATAACCTAAAGCTGTGTGTGGTTTGCTGGAACAGACACTGAAGAAACACAATCACGGAGTTCAACTCCCCCAACTCTTGGTGGATTTGCAGTGTATTTGTGATTTTGTCATCACACAGCAAATCTTTATCAACAGATCGGTACTCACTTAGGCCTCTGTAAGACATAAGTTAAAAGGAATGTTCGGAGTGATTCAATGCTACTTTTTTCCAGGAGGATCCATTCTCTTACAACAGCTTCCATTATCGCTGTGGCAGCTTGAAAAAGTACATAGTCCACTTTACTGGTTTCTGTAAGGAAAAAAAAAATATAAAAAATTGTAGGTTAGACCAGCAATGCAGCATGGGAGAGAATCCAACAACTGTATGATAGACCAAGCATTATATTACTCTGTAGTGCAGCTCTAACCCATACATACCTAAAATGTGCTTGCATACAGCAAAAGGGGACTTGGATTTTCTAAAGGAGAGGAAGATGTGCTCTGCATGCTGCCGCTGTTCATTATTCACCATGGATGGCGGAGCCTGGAAAATAAAACAAGACCATTTTCAACGCCTATTAAAATCTCCAACAAAATGCCTGGATAACGTAACACACAGAGATGCAATGATCAGCAGAAATCCCTTCCGAGAAAGAACGCATAGTGCAAAAGGCAGCAGCCAATAAACCAACATCGCAATTCTGTTATGGGCTTCTGTACTGTGTATTGTCCTAAGCCACAAACATAATCAAAGAAGGATAAACTAGAATTGGCTGCTGAGCGGAACTGAGGCAGACTTTGGTCTGATTTGCATTTGCTAACCCATGGAAAGAGTAGTAGGCATGTCCAGCTCATTCAGTAATAGAAGCAGTAACAGTGATGGAAATAGGAAATGGATTCAGTTTACCCAAATCAAATATGTAAACAAATTATAGTCTGACAGGTTGGTATAGTTCACTGCTCTTTTCATTTGACACTGTGCCTAATTCATCAAGTCCACTTATAATGTATACCATGAAAAAATAATAATGCTGCTGTACCCCAGTCTAGGCCAATCATTATTGCAGAGAGCATTATTTTCAATAAGTAGTAAGATGTGGTGAGCGGATACACAGATAAACTCATTGCACACTAATAAGCCTGAGTAAACTGATCACAGCTTCCTGCAAATCCAATATTGAAAAAGGGTTAGTAGTTCTATAATGGCAAGTACGATCCCCCAGTGGTTACAACCAAATGCAGAACATCGGTCAGGGAGCGCCATCTAGTGGAGATGTAAGAGAAGCACTTACAAGTTTGAATTGGTCACAACCAAACAGTAACTTTTAATGCCTACTTTACAATATGAAACAACCAATAGTTTTAGGAATTCCAGTCAAGTTAAAAGACAGCTGTTAACCTTTTACAATGGCGGTTTTGGTGCACTTGGCGTTTCTTCTAAATACAGGCCGTGGCATTATTTGCACTGGATGTTGCAAGCGTGTTCACAACTGCTGTGCAGAGATTAATCAGGGGAGGAAATAAGAGAATTCAATGCTGGAACAACTGCAATGTGTGAGATGCCTACTTTTAATTTCTAGAAACCAATGGGGGGAGGGGTCCATACGGACTTGTCTTCACTTTCTACCACAGAAAACGTTTGTTACATTGCAGCTTTACTACTGGATCTAGTTTTCTCTGGTGTACCACTTTAAAACTCTATCATCCGATTCAGCCTTCAATCCCTTGCTTTACTTGCCTTGCCACTATGCTTGTATAGACACAGACATTTCTCATTGACTTCAAAGGGAAATAAACATAAGCAGAGTAACAAGGCAGAAGAAATGAGCTTTGTGTTACTTGTGCAGAGAGCAGAGCAGTGGGTCAGCACTTCTGAGCCAAGACTCATTTAGCCATTATTTGACAGCCCCGCGAGATGCTTAGATGATGTAAGCTAGCCGCTCTAATATTGTTCCATCATTCCAAATCTCATGTTTGTCAGGTATAGGTACTGCTCCTCATTCTGTGAATTAAATGACAACAGAGATGTAACAGGATGCTATGAACGACACTTCAATTTTCAGCCAAGAAAGAGAAATGCCACATAGTCCCTAGAATGGTGCAATAACTGAAGGCAAGTTGTTTTGTATGAGGATCAGCAGGTTGTAACCTAAATGTATTCCAACAAGGTGATCTATGAGGATATCTACAGAACTAATATGCAAAATGGCAAATAAAGGATAAACCAATCGTTTGCTGGACGTCTGACTTTACCGACATGCTGAAATATGTACTGACTTATTTAGGGCACCTGACAGCACGGTTAATCTAAAGTAAAATTATGACGCCCACAAAAAAAAGTGCTGCGGAACCTAAAATATAACTGCACCTGTACTTACAGATTCCCTTTAGTCCCTGTGCATCTTAGCCCTGGTTCACACACAGGCGTTTTTGAGCAGTCGAAAAGCGATTTTAAATGCCCAACACAAGAAATTGCATGATTTTTAATGGCCCTGGTTCATACCCGAGCAGAAAAACGCCTAGCAGGAAAACGCCAGATGCCTGAAAAGGTACAGGAGCTTCTTTGGGCAGTTAAAAACGCTTTTCCTCCCCATAGACTTCATTGGAAATGCCCAAAAACACACAACAGAAGCATGCTGCACATTTTCATTTTTGCACGTTTGCCCAATAATGGTTTATGAGCTGCCAATCAAAACGTGCGTCTTCATGTATGCGCGTTAAAATGCACATACAAATGTGCACAACACGCAAATTACCGCATGCCGCTAATGCGCGTACAAACGCGCTAAAACAGTGCAGCCTAGGTGTGAACCAGGGCTTACAAATACCTGTTGACCTGGCATTTACAGTTCTACTATAAGCTTTAGCGACCATCAGCTTATAGTAGAACTGTTCAGCAGACTGTCCCCTTTAAATTAATAGCTGTCATCAGCGGCTCACAAGCCGCTGATGACCGACAAAAAATATTTTTTTTTGTGCACGGATACTGATTTTGGTGTGTTTTAACAATTGAATTGTGTATTTTTATCGGTTTAATATTAATTTGAGAAACATTTGCGCAATTATCGCAGGGCCTACAAATTTAGTATCACCATCTTTTTATTCTACCGGGATTGCGCTTTCAGAAAATATATGGTTTGGGGGGTCTTTTACAAACGCTAGCAACGCAGCAGTTGAAAATCAAATCAATAGGAAAAAATTGCAGAAAATTCAAAAATGGCTTGGCCAGCTGATTTGAAAAATGTTCCGGAGGGCTTGGCAGCGAAAGGGTTAAGGTACATGAATGTATTTTTAAAATTAACTGCTGAGTTTAGTGTCACTTTAAACCTTATCAATCCTGTTCTTTATTCTGACATAAATCACCAAACATTTCTTGCATCATCAGCGTCTCCAGTGCAGAAAACTTTACCATCCAGTTCCCAGGTTCCCACACCTGCTGTGGCCATTTATCATTTATTGCAGGAACACCCCCCCAACTTCTGGATAGATCACTTATAAAGTAATAGGATTAAGAGAAACTTTGGCAGGAAGATCTCACTACCTTGAGATTCAAAATTAACTTTTCCTGTGGTGCATTAGCAGTTTACTGACTAACTTGTTGCCTGCAGAAGCAATCAACAACAGCATTGCCTGCAGAGGACAATTTTCTAATTTGCATAAGTAAATCATAGTGTTACACCAAACATATAAGGATACGGTTTATATAAGGGCTTGTGTGGTCTGGCTTTTAGATTAAATCTATATTTATTTATTTCACAAAGTTATAATAATCATAACATATAAATAGGTTTCATATATCTCGCCAACAATGTAAGAATGAAGTCACTTTCGAAAGGAAAAAATAAATAACGGAGAAAACACAGCATTAGATCATACCATTAAACAATTCAAGGTCTTCTTTATACAGCGGTAACCAGACTTCAAATAAAGATCTCAAAACATTATATTGCAATCAGCCTGTATTCAATTGAATCATTCATTTATCTCCAAATCATATATATTCTATTCCAATAATTATAACTCACACACACACATACAAAAGGAGGGAAACATTTTTATATATAGAAGAGTGCGGACTGGCTTTTGTTCTCTTCAAGTGGGTTTTGCTCTCCTGAAAAACCTGTTTAAAGGTCAGAAGGAGGTTAACTGCAGGTTAAAAGCTACTGTCAACAAATTCTGAAGGATCTCAGAAGCATCTCAAACTGATGCCATGTACACAAGCCCAAAGCCTACCAACACAGGCATCCTTAGGAACCCCCCACCCACCAGTCAAATCTTCCTCCCACATTCCGGTTAGATACCTGTAATTTACTATATATACCGCACATCGCAGCACACAATGAAAATACTCCATAGAAGAAGCTCAGGTCCGCCTTCCAAACAATACTTGCTGAGTGTGATGCACACTCTCCACTCGCTCCCACCAATGCAGATAATTTTGGCCTAAAAATTTCCCGAAAAAAAGAATAGAGTCGCTTTCTTTGCCTCTTCCTCCCTTTGTAAGAATTTACTGGTGAAGCTTTTACCATTATTAGCCGGAAAGTGAAGACATCTGGAAGGCAGCAAAGAATGCACCTCCAACGGCTTTCTTGACGATTTCAGGTATGTAGAAACTGTCAGACCGCTCTTCTGCCATCATCCAGTCTTTGCCTGCCCATATATTACACTGCGCTGACAATCTAGCATGTGCACCCTGCTTCAGGTGAAAGGACTTGCTATTTGCAGCATTCTAATTGCCTGAATAACCTCATAAATAAAGTGTTTCCAGATTAACCCCCCATAACATACACATTTCAGTGTACTACTCCTGGAAGAATGGAGCATAACCTATTCACCTTCACAGCGAGGGACCCGTCGCATAGAACCAGCAGGAGACCCGGAGGGGTCAGATGGAGGCTTTAAGCACAGGTATGTTGCTTCAGGACATTTTCCCTTTAAAACTTAACCCTTGCGTGACCCGTGTTTACTGAAGCCTAAAGGCCCAGACCAAGTTTAGCAGCGTCAGGGAACTTTACAATAACTTAATATATAATTTCCCTGTTTGACACGGGGCCTATGAGCTAGGAACACGCACAGTCTCACAGCAAAGGAGCACTTTACTTTTGGACTTAAAAAGTCGTATTGTGGTCACAAAGGGACCTGAACCGACAAGAGGTTATTGAAGCCTAGATGCCCTAATCTGCCAAATAATTGCCCCCTTTTTAACATACTTGCCTTCATCTTTGTTTATATTCTTTGTTGCATCTCAATGCTGCTGATCTCCTGGTCTCTTCCTGTCTACATGCACCCTAGGAATGGCCCCATGGCATTTCTCTGGGTGGACTTCCTGAGGGCAACAGGGAAGCATACCTGCGTAATGTGTGATAAAAGTGTTGTCACCCTAAACAGGAAGTCCTTGGCAAAAACTTACACTGTAGAATGAACATGTATTTTTAATAAAAGCTGCAGATTTAAATATATTGGGCAGAAAAATATGGCCAAATAGTGGAGGGAGGGCAAAGATGACAGTCTTGGGAGTGCACACCTTCGTCAGCAATGGCACCT